ATTCTCATGTGCAGCACCAACAAGATCTCACCACAGGTGTGGAATATTTCTGTTTAACAAGTGGTTTTCTAATTTCTAAGAATTCACAGGTGTCTTCAGTGTTCAGTGTCCCCAGCACAGCTAATTAATAAATACATTGGACATTTGTTCTGATACCTATCAGGGCCAGATGAATGGTGAAACTGACCATTTTTAACACATCCTCTAACTGTAGTTGTTGTGCAGGACGCAGTGCTGAGACAACAACAAAATAAAACAATTAACAGGAAAAAATGAATGGGGTTGTGTTTATCCATCAGCTCAACGTGTATTGACGGCCAGGTAATGAGACGTCTGTTTGGACTGATGAAGCAGCCTGATTACCTGACACCACCACTAATGACCCTTTGCTTGGTGTCATTTCTCACATCTATCCGCGTGCATGTCCACAGATACGGACAGACACATGCACGCAGCCAGGTGGACATAACATACATGTTATAGAGCTGCAGACACACGTTTGTTGTTGAACTACTCTGCTGCTGCTGCCTCATGTCTGTGAATGGTTTGGGAGGCACACGGCAGCCTGGACTCCACTGGAGACAAAGGAAAAATGAGGAGAAAAAGCATGTTGCTCCACAGCTTCTGCTGGCTCACGGAGTTGACAGTGAGCCTGTTGTGGAAAAAGTGGTCTACTTTTAAACTTGTCTAAAGACCGAAGGAGGAGCTGACCTGAACGCTGCACAATTAGCTGTCATGGCTTCATGTCTGTCTTTATCAGAGCAGCAGAGCGCGTTCCGTGCGCCGCTGCCGGTTTATTTCCACCCAAGTCGGGATCGAATGTTCTACCAAGACTGAAGTGTGCGTAATAGTATAGAATGACAATAAAGTGTTGTTTTCTTACCTTTATCGGCATGCTTTGCCGCTGTGGACGCCGTGTAGAGGATGGTGAGACAGAGAAGAGAGAGGAGCGACAGAGCTCCCCGCTCGGCCATCACTTTTCAAAAATAAATCTTTGCAGGATTCAGGAATCCTGGAGGAGCGTCCACAAAATAAATCCTCAACCCCCGATCTCCTAATTTAATATGCACCAGGCTTAGAAAAAAAAGTTCAAAGTACAAAACGGTGCAGAACGAAACGGAGCCAGGTAGTTTTTAAAGTAGCCGGATGGAACATGTAGCTGGAGAGAGAGAAAGCCGCAGGTTATTACACACACTGTGCTCTCAACTTAGTCGAGACAGAGGTCGCAGAGGAAACACTCCAATCAATCCATGGCCACGGAGGCGCAGCGCAAACACCTCAACACATTTGTGGGCGACTGAACCCGAAACCGCTCGACTCCGCCGCTCCGACGTGCCTTAAAGAGTGGAGAAAAGATCAGATCCGAGTAGGAAAGAGGGAAGTGTACGCCGTGGCCAGCTCACTGCTGACGGACAGAGGAGCGGAGCGGAGCAGAGCAGCGTGTGTGTGTGTGGAGCTGGGCTGGATCTCCACAGGCTCCCCGGAAAACAGGGTGTGGAGTGAGACGGAAGTTAGGATCCAGACTGCCGACTGCTGCCAGCTCAGGCTACAGCAAAGACATGGTGGAGGATTTCAGTCCTCGTCTGTGCACCGTTGTGATTGGGGTTTTTTGTTTTTTAAAATAAAACCACAGCAGCTTGTTCCTGGCTGTGTTTTACCACATATTTCATCTAAATGGAATTTAACTTTAGAAAATTCTTAATTTTACAAAATCATAAATGTTACTTCATCTTAGGCTAACAAAACTTTCATTTCATATTTTAAAAGCATGGATTCAAAGTTAATAAATGTTTGGAAACTTCTAGTTCACTGAAACTTCCTCTGACTCATTTCCTGGGTAAATGCATTTTTTATAGTTAGAATATTCTCTGTCAATTCACACATTGGTTCACACAGGAAACATTTAGAAACAAACAATCACCCACGCTCATTTACACATCTATAGTCAATCTAGAGGGAAAAGGTCATCAGGTCCTGAATGTTTTTGGAACTATTATAGCAAACCAGAGTACCTGGAGAACCCCTGACGCACAGGGAGAACATGTACGGACCAGAGCGCCACAAAAATAATGTAGTTCTCTGCGGTACAGTGGTTTGAATGAAAAAAACGTACGTACAAAAATGAGACTTCTTCTTACAGGACAAATAATATAAACTTGAAATGAAATAAAACACAATGTCACGTTCAGTCAGTCATTATGATGATGACAGTGAATTATAATGCATTTAACATTAACTAGCTCCTTTAATAAAGTTATGCACAGATAATTAAAAAATCATCTTGGTATTAGAAACACGAAGACTGCGACCGCTATTGATTTTGTTTATTCATTTTCAAATTTGAATCAACACCTTCTTGACCTACAAGCGTTGTTTAATTACAGTATTGACTGTTGTTCATCAGGTGTTTTGAACCTGGTCCGTTAAAGTTGATTAGACTGCGCTTAGCATATAAATTGAAACCAGACAAACTGAATTCACTTGTGTTTACCCTCTGCAGGTTGATAGACTGAGATTAATCTGGAACTATTAGTTCACTTGAGGTGGAGGTAATGAATAACTTCAATAAATGTGCCTGAATAATATGATTCAAATTCTTGGACCAAAGATCAAGAGCACATTTCTGTGACTCATTGCTGACTGCTGCTTTTATAAACAGTTTATACCCGGCCCCAGATTCAATAAAATAAAGTCCTTTTTTTTTTTTTTTTACAGAAATCCAAACACATACAAAAGCCGAACACATCTGAGACGGGGAAAACAGCCAGGAGACAGGATTGGGTGTCTGAAGTTTTAGGTCACTCATAAGAATCTCTGGGATGATACGTTTTATTAAAGAAAATTGTTACAGGCCAGAGGGTGGGGAAAGAGAAAATAAACAGTGTTTTATTGAGTGTATGGAGAAGAAATGGTAAAATAGAACAGGAGGAGGAATGTAATAAAAACAGTCTTTTTATTCTTATCCAGGACTAGGACTAAAGGAAACAGAATGAAATAAGTACATGTTGCTCAATCCTGCACTCAGATGCAGTAACAGCTCCCCCCACTGGTTGGGGTAAACCCTGGCATATTAATCATGACCTCTAGACCCATTTTCTACCCCTGGGGCAACAGCAGAGTATCTTTTGTTTGGGGTCTGTGCCACAGCACTGGTCCTGTCCTCAAACCAATATTTTCCCTCTTACTAATGATGCCGTCTGTGTGCTTCACTGAGTGCAGAGTGAGCCTCAAGGCTCGCGCCCTTGTGCCAACATTGTTTTTCTGTCTCCCTTTGTTCACCTTATTTCTCTACTCCTGCCATTCTGATACTAAAACAATCAGTCAAAGCCTCTAATGTATTTTCCAAACAAAACGAGACTCCTAATAGGCAGCAGAATAACAGAACAGAACGTCCTTCCAACCCCTCGGTACAAACTTGGTCAACTCTCTACAATCAGAATCCTGAGGAAATGAGGTCACACAGCAGTGTGCACAGATCGGCAGGACGGCGGAGGAGAAGGCATTAATGATGCAGTGTGTTATCTGTAAATTCCGCAGTGCTCGTAGGCACACGTGACAATCATAAAAACGAATGAACTAATGACAGCAATAAAAACAACCTTTTTTTTTTTACAACGAGCCCTGTATTCAGAGGAGCCGTGACCAACTGCACATTTAACAGTAATCTGTTGTAATTAATACACACGGGGCCACTTGGTGATGTAGTGGTTAGCACTGTTGCTTTTGGCAATAAGATTGTTGTTTACACATACAGATTGGGATTATATTGTCTGCAGCTCTCATTTTACATTTTGTAAAAATGTATAACAAGCAGCTAGAAGTTATGGATGTACCATGACTTCCAGCTGCTTGTTATACATTTTTTCTAGTTAAACATTTCTTAAGTTGAACATTGAAGAAACTGCTGAAAGCTTGCGTCCTCCAGGTCATCCAGGTCATGTGGTAACGCTACAGCATCTTGTTAAGTTTTGCTGCTGTGACTAATGTAAGCTGTGGTGATTCAACAGAGCGTAGGAAAGATCTGCTCTGGACATAAAGTGGAAAAAAGACGATTATGTGGCTAGGAGGAAGATGACAGGTTTGGGCCCCGGCGTTAACTGATGACCTTTGGTTATGGAGGTGGCTAGGAGGAAGATGACAGGTTTGCGCCCCAGCTTTAACTGATGACCTTTGGTTATGGAGGTTGAACCTTATGTGTGTGTGTGTGTGCAGGTTGCCTGTGTCTATACGCAGGCATGTGATTTTACAGAATGAAACTAGTGAGAGTGTCCTGCACAGCCAACCCAATGACTGCTGTGATTGGCTGCAGCTCCTACTACTGTACCAACAGAATTAGTGGTAAAATGAAATACTTCAACTTCTTACATGTGTTGTAAAAAAAATATGAGAAATTTCTGCAGTTGGTATTAAAATAAAGCAAAGGCTGACATTCCTCTATTTATAGAAAACACTGTGACATGTTTTTGTACCATTAACAGCCTGTGATGCATTTATACATGACATATATGTGAAGTTAGATTTAATATATGCAGTATTGACAACACACAGTCCAGCTGGGCTCTTTTTATTTTTAGTTTTCCATAAGACAGATTTCCTCCTGGTGAGGAACCACAACATTAGCTTTTTATAATGAAGCAACGTATCGCTGCCTGTTGAAGTCAGATCCCATCTTATTGCCAATTATGGTGTGTACATGCACACAGCTGGACTCAGAATCACTTCTAATTCTCATCCTGCCTCCATCTTCTCCTCTTCCTCTCCACTACCTGTATCCTGGGAACATATTCCTCATAGATTTAAGAACAAGGTCACTCCAAACCTCTGACATTAAAATGATGCTCACATCATGACTCCAGCAGCCTTAGTGGCAACCATGCACGATGAGGAAACAGACCCAGATTACTGCAGTGAGAGGGTGGTGGATTAAGTTGCAGTGGAAGCAGCTGTTAAGTGTAATATTTCAAACGTTTCTAAATATTTTTGAACCCTTTTAAAAGCAGCGACCATATGTACAGTATATTACAGCATCAGCGTGCAATAATGCATTCCATGAACACGTGTTTTCAAAGAGCCATTAATGTGCTCAGAGGAAAAAAAAATCTGCAGATTAAAGAGAATCCCATTTCTCTCTTCTTTCTCACATCGCACACAGAAACTTTATATACTCATTCATTTTCACGCTCATTCTAAACCCTTGATATTCAAGTATCATGTTATTAATTTTTCATAATTCTTTCAGGTTATCAATGAGTCTCCTATATTTAATGATTCCTGATGCTCTGATTCAATCTCTGGTGTGGAATTTCAATACTGGCATTGAGTTCAATGTGATCCCACAACATGGACTTGATCTTATTTGTAACAGGATTAGGACGCAAGAGGCTCAGCTCATGGCAAAGCTGGATAAACAGTCTTAAGTATGGCATTTGGTCCATCCTAAGGATTGTTCACACTCTAAATGTCACATAAGAGCTGTGTGTGTGTGTGTGTGTGTGGGGGGGGGGGGGGGGTGGGGGGGGGGGGGGGGGTGGGGGGGGGGGGGGGGGTGCCTGCTATAATTTCTTTGGCTCAATGTCATACTAATAAAACTTAGAATTGAAATAAAAATATCTAATGGGAGAGAACCCATGAGTTTCAGCAGGTTTAGTAGCCTATAAACAAAGTTCTACTTAAAAAAAAAGTTTTTTAGAAGAAGGAAAAAAAGAAGAGACGAAAATATAAAATAAAAAAAAGATGAGGAGCAAGAAGGAAAAAGAAAAGATAATAAAAGCGAGAAGAACAAAGAAGAGTAATTAAGAAGGCCAACATGAAAAACAAGAAAGGAGATTGAGGAGATTTATAATTGCAAGTTAAAAAACAAACAAAGTTCTTCTTGAAAAAGTTAAAAACTGTCTTTACAGTGCCCCCTGCAGGGGAGGGAAAGGAAGCTACATGCTGTGTGGTTATCAACATTAACCCAAAGGTCTACAGACTTTAATTTTGGTTACACAGCACAAATACTTGGGAAAGGAACTCGAATTGCTCGGCCAATCTCTCTCTCTCTCTCTCTCTCTCTCTCTCTCTCTCTGTGTGTGTATTTATTCATGGTCAAAACAGCTGTTGTGTACCTGGCTCAAACCCGGAGCTAAAGATGGCAGCAGCACCTGTCCTCCTGTAGCTCTCTCACCTGTCCTCTGCTCACAGGACAATATTTTATTGGAGCAGGAACCAGCCGTCCTCACCCCCTTCCCCCACCTCCCCACACACTCCCACTTGTCATACATGTATTTACCTGGGCACATTATCAGGGGTTGGCACAGCTCAGCACACACACATGTCAACACTCTCCTCCTGGGCACTGCTAATCATTGGTCTAATTAGCTCATGGTGAGCAGCTGAACAATGGCACACAGTCTGCTGCAGCCGCCGCGGTCCGACTGATGTCAGGAGTCATGGACGGGACAAAGTTTCTCTCTTATCCTCACACTAATAACATCTGTAATCGTCGACGTCTTAAGTGGTCGGTGCTAAATCCTTCTGTCAAACATCACTGTTAAGAATGCTCAAAAAATATATAAAAGTTTGGTCATTTTAAGTTTTTGTTAAAACGTTGATATTAATGAAAAAATAATTAAAAAAATGAAAAATAAACATTTTTGAAAGCAGAGAAGATTCCTGTGTCTTCTGTTGTATTTGATGGCCTGATGCTGCTAAGAATGGTGCTTGTTTGCTCATAGGCACGCAAACCCTGATAAACAACCATTTGACATCAATGTTCTGTCAAATAGAATAGTGC